GTTACTTGCCTGGGGGCGGTACTGCTGCAGCCTGCCACATCACCAGAATATTCCTCAGTGGACACTGTTAAGGGGATTAGAAATAATTTTGTTTCCTGTTCACGAATCTCGACTTTGGCCAGTACCAGAGTATGAAAGTTATATAATTTTTTATGATGATACTAGACATATGTTACCCGCGACAGGCGGGTCTTTATTTGCGCATTACTGTCGATATAGTCACAATTAAACGAAATAATAATGTAATAAGTAAAGCGAATGTGTCAATGTAAAAATAGTGTGAATGAAGCTATCAAATAAAAATAGCTAATAGGCTTAAATCCATTTTTTCAAATTAAAACATTTGCTTGTAGGCCTACATATATTTGATTAAAATTTGAGATGAATAGACTTAATTTTGTATGTTCCGGTAAGTATAAAGTAGATCTTGAGGTAGACATAGATCTAAATCTACACTAATCTAAGTTAAAAATTGGCTTTTATAGAGTTCATTCTGTGTTGCGCATGCGTGACCTTTTTTGATGAATGAATATAGGCCTATCCCAACACGGCTACGCAATTTTAGCGAACAGCGAACGAATGTATTACAAATGCTTTAGAAAAACAAATTTGAATGTTAAATTGATTAAAATATCAAATGAATGGACAATAATTAGTATGTTTATGTGTTAAAGCACAAAACTATCTTTGCGAAACGAAGTTTTATCATCATCAATAAGAGTTTTAGACCTAGACCTAGGAATATACTCAGTAGAGAGATGTGTTAATGTGTAACCAATTGGTAATGTCAGGAACTAATTTATGTAAAAAATGCTTTTGAAATACAAAATTGAAGGTTAATTTTATTACATAATGAAATCAATGGATCTTTTGTATTTTCATGTGTCAAAGTAAAAAACTATGTTCGCAAAGTGTATTTCTTAAAATTAGATCTAGGTCTAAATCCTTTCGATCTTTTCTCATGTCAACATTGTTAACCATGGCCTAGATCCATAAAATACTATAGCTGTAATAGAGTCGGACAACTTTTTTTTTTTTTTTTGAGGGTCTTAAGTTTGTTTTAGGCTACAATACATACACTACGGTCTAAGTTAGTACCCAAGGAACATTCCTGCCTATTTTTATCAAGATTGGTCAAGCGGTTTTGATGTCTATAAGTAGCATACATACATACATACATACATACACCTCACATTCTACTTATAATATAGAAGATTAATAATCTTTATTACCCGTGAGGACATGTGTCTTACAGTTGTGTATAGCAAAACAGCAGACGATGGCACACAAAAATATGTTTATACTACAGTTTTTTTTTCAACATTACATGTGAACTTTACATCGGGAAGCTGTACTTTCTCCTTTTATTTTATTGCTAAGGGAACAAAAGAGTGTTGTTGGTTTTTTTTTGTGATCGGTGTCTTGTATTTCCTTTGAGATGATAAGACCTTAATATCTTGAACCAGAGGATGTTTGTTGTGTGTGTGATGTATAAGGTGTATGTGGTGTGTGTGGTGCTTTTGTGTGTTTTGGTGGTGCTTGTATTTGTTGTTTTGTGGCAGTGTATGTGGTGTATGGTGTATTTGGTTAACGGGGCTTGTGTGAGAGGTGTGTGTGTGGTATATGTGGTGAACGGGCTTCTGTGTGTGGTGTTTGTGGTGTATATGTGATGCTTGTGTATGTGGTGTGTGTGTGGTGTAATTGGTGTGTATGGTGTGAGTGCTGCTTGTGTGTGTGGTGTATTTGGTGTTTGTTGTATGTTGTGTGTGTGCTGTGTTTGTGTGTGTGGTTAGTGTGGTGTGTGTGGTGTTCTTATTCTCCCACGTCCTATTTATGATATTAACTGTAACCCTCAATATGCCGTGGTTTGACTAGCCCGCGGTAAAGAGGAGACGTTCTCTCTTTTTGGCTCTTCCCATTTCTCCTTCAACTAACAAACCATCGTTCTTCATTCAGAGAGAGGAGGACGAAATCGAATTCTGCCCAGAGGACCAAGAGGCTGAAGTAACTGTCGACACCCCTGCAGAGACACCGGAAATGAAAGAACATCTGGAAAGCTGTGAGGATCTCCGAACCCCTTTTGTGGGGAACCTGCAGAACCATCACGAACCACAGGACATGCAAAACCATCACGACCCACAGGACATGAAGAATCATCACACCCCACAGGAACTGCAGAATCATCACACCCCACAAGAGCTGCAAAGTCATCACACCCCAAAGGACCTGCAGAATCATCACACCACAGAGGACCTTCAGGACCATCACACCCCACAGGGCACGCACGAACTTATTCAGGACTCTGAGACAGTTGTACAGGGCAGTCAACCTCGCTACAACTTACGCAGAAGAAGTGCCAAATTGAACTACAGAGTCTAGAGATTTATGTTTACTTGTGTATATAACTTAGTCTTAGATTGGGTGAATGTGGCGATATGGTTTATACCTTGGTGTATGTTTGTGTAACGTCATCAGAATATGTGTTCAGAATATTGATAGAATGTGTTGTCTGAATATCTCATTGTCTTTAATACAATTATCCCTTTAACAGAGTCAAGCAAACATATTACATATTACACACAAATGTGATCGAAACTGTTGCCTTTATTTTCATACTGCTGAGCATTTCATCCAATATAATGTATAGAGTTTGATATAAATTTAGATTTATTTTAAAATTTTATATAACTGTATATTTTATTTTATATAATTTTCTTACACTGTCATAGTGATAACATAAAGACATATCAGTTCACAGAAACATCATGTTTACCTTATCTCATGATCTTACAAAGACTGCTCCTCAAACCTCTGAGTCTATCCCATAACTCCGCTCACTTTTGCTAATTAATCAATTTTGGTAATCTCCCTTTGATTACACGCGAGGACTCCAATATTCCAGTTAGTAAATTTGAAACATTTTGCTATCGATTTGTTTTGTTTTTTCTTCAGGTAAACACACAGAAACAAAAGTTCCGTAAACCAATTGCCTATACATTATCTCCCCTATAAAAATGTGTTTGGGTTTTAAGATAGTGGTTAGACGTCTTCCAAGTATATATGCTATAACAGTGAAACAACTAGCTACCAGTTGACCTGACCTGGATCATTTATGTGGATTGAAAGTTTTGTATTTATTTTTTTTATCAAATTACTTTTATAAATTCTAGAGTCAGCTTTATATAAACATTTAGAAGAAACATTTGATGTTTTATAATGACTAAATCACTCTTGTTCACTGCTGGACTAGCCCGGAATATATGGCCCATATACAGCCATTAGGCCCTAATTATTAGGCCTATTTGTATTATTGTTACTTTCTACTTTTACTTATTTAATTTTTAAAGGGGGAAAAAAAAAGGGGGGGGGGTAAATGGGGATAGAAAAATAATGGCATGGGAGAGTAAAAGCTAATTTGGCAAGTCCTGGTTTCATAACTAAACAAGTTTAATCAGCTTGTTTCATCAAATATCTTAGACGGAGAAATAGTGTAATCTTTCATTTATTCTGATGTTTGCCCAAAAAAATAAAATTATATTTACTTATTTTTTTTACAAAAATTGACTTGTTGATTGTATCACAATATGTTGTTTAGTTTAACTGCCTTGAACATTGCGATGTTACTTTCTGGATCTATACGGACTACGACATCAACACACACACATTCCATAAAAGCATTTGGCTATAGTTTGTTGCCTATGTCCGCCTAATGGAGAAGGAGCAAATCCCTGAAGTAACTCTTTCCACAGAACGGTGTAGGTTAATGCCCTTTCCTTGATATAACCCAGTACCAGATCTACCTTTGTAACGGCGCGGTCTTCTACTACGAAGCCACAGTTCGCGAAGGCTGCGCCGCACAGCTTTGCCCATGAGAGGTGGCTGAGTGGTTAACCAATTGTCCATTGTTTTCTTTTTTTCTCCGCCTTGCATATTACATAATGCCCATATAAACATACTGTCTTCATCTGTTGCCTATAGTTCAACTATTACCTTAGCTATAAACATACTACTGTCTTCATCTGTTGCCTATAGTTCAACTATTACCTTAGCTATAAACATACTGTCTTCATCTGTAACCTATAGTTCAACTATTACCTTAGCTATAAACATGCTGTCCTCAACTGTTGCCTGTAGTTCAACTATTACCTTAGCTATAAACATACTGTCCTCAACTGTTGCCTGTAGTTCAACTATTACCTTAGCTATAAACATCCTGTCCTCATCAATTGCCTGTAGTTCAACTATTACCTTAGCTATAAACATGCTGTCTTCATCTGTTGCCTATAGTTCAACTATTACCTTAGCTATAAACATGCTGTCCTCATCAATTGCCTGTAGTTCAACTATTACCTTAGCTATAAACATACTGTCCTCATCAATTGCCTGTAGTTCAACTATTACCTTAGCTATAAACATGCTGTCCTCAACTGTTGCTTGTAGTTCAACTATTACCTTAGCTATAAACATACTGTCCTCAACTGTTGCCTGTAGTTCAACTATTACCTTAGCTATAAACATACTGTCCTCAACTGTTGCCTGTAGTTCAACTATTTCTTCAGCTCAGTATTTCCCAAACTTTTTCCTTAACGGAACACTTCGAACATTTTGAGTATCTAGCGGAACACTTTGCTTATGTTTTTTTAGAGAGTTTAATTGTCGTGGTGGCCTACTAGTTAATTATTTCAGTAGTTCGTTAATATGTACACAAGGGTTCGGCGGAACACAGTTTGGGAAACACTGCCTTAGCCAAATAGTCATTTAAATTTTCTTTGTCCGACCTTGACATTAAACAGGTATCTTGCATTTATTGGACATATTGAGTACATGTACTCTACATTATTATTATTATAGCTTTTATATAGCGCTACTTTTATGCTTATATCATGCTCAGAGCACTTTGGTCCAATCTCAGTTGTGGACCGGTGGGGGGGAGGGGGTATCTAGGAGTTGGTTTTCTGCGCCAGACGAGACCACAAGCCGAGATAAAAATCACAAAAACAATTCACTGTTTCACTAATAATTTATTTTTTTAGTAAAAAAAAAAATAATACTCTAGCAAGGAACCAGTATATGAACAAGCCCAAACAGTTATAGTACCCCAATGATGTAAATAGAAAATAAATATAATTGAGTAATACTACAGTTTCACTGAAAAATAATAAAATTAGAACTTACAATTGAACAGCCAAAACATAAAATTGTATAAAAAGCAAATATTAGACATTAGTAAATTATTGACTTTTCCTGAAAGATAATAACATAAATTGTTTATATCATGGCTGTCTGGTCTGCCTAGAGCTATTGCAAAGACTTGAACCCTGGCCGCTTACATTCTCTGCCATCCTGTATAGGGTTCGGACTAGGATGTAATATTTTCTTTCTTATAAGTTAGTCGTTACTTCAAAACTGAAGATTATTACGACCAAATTGTAGCCGCATTAAGCATGTTAGTAAAGGATTTTAACTCTGCTAAGTTCTTAGTTTTCCTGGCTGATGCACGCAATTCCTTCCATGCTCTAATAGTACTTGTAATAATTTGTTCTAACATAAGGAATAAGATATTTGCCTTTATCTTTGTGTCTAAATATTTTTTTTTTTAGGTTTTGGTTTTGTACTTGTAAGTTAAGGTTTTTAGTGTTTCATCTTTTATTGTTCTGTTCAGGATGGATGCCTGGTCGTGCGGTTTGCGCGCTGGACTGTCGATCAGATTTATCGATGGTCCAGGTTTCAAACCCTGCCCGCTCCCATCCCCCGTCATCCTGCGGGAGGTTTGGACTAGGAAGTAATTATCTTCAACTCTGAAGGAACATCCGAAACATGTCAAACAAACAAACAAAACAGAAGTCTCTCCAAATTTAGTGATAAATGGATTCAGCTGATATGAAGAGAAAGGCATTTTAATATTTTCCTGACTCTCTATTTATCTTGATCAAGTAAAGCACATTGCACTCTACACAATACATAGTGTGTTTAAAAAAATCTACATACATACAACATTGACAGTGTAGAAGCTATTTATGGCATCAAGGGAAGGTCACAAAGTTAATTGACCAATGAAAAAGCATTGAAAAACTATTATCACAAGAATAAATGAACAATAAAAATGCAAAGGGTGTGATCAAAGCAAAAATATAAAAATAAAAATAATAATTAATAAAACCTTTGGTGTAAATAAAAGAGGAGTGCCATGGTATAAAAAAATATGTTTAGCATATTACATCAAGGGAATGTAATCACTAATTAAAGGATCTAATTGTTTTAAAAAATTGATTGATTTTAATTTCTTTGTAATACATGAGCATGCTATTAAACATGTTCAATATTTTTAGGTCAAATATATATAATATCTATATATTCAATATTATTGGGGGACTCTACTGGATCAGTGGTGTAGCTAAGGTGGGGGTAGAGGGGGTCCAAATTTGAAAATCCCCCCCCACCCGATGTTGAATGTCAAAATGCTGGGGCCTGTAAAGACAATAAGCCCCCATGAGCCCTCAAATTCCTAGCTACAACACTGTACTTGGATCTATTGCCTTCTAAGCTTCTTTGGGCTTGGAGTAGCCTACTGATTTTTAGAGGCACTTGCTGGTCCCTCAGTGAGATCCCTACTAAAAGGAAGCTACATTTTCTTGGTTAAATATACACAAACAAAAAGCCATAGAAATAAAGTAATAAAAAAACTGGAATGTTTGAGCACAAACAGTATAAAATAGTTTGAATATCAAGAAACATTGCTGATCTATTTATGGCCATCAGTTTATCATAACCACTTAAATCTTTCTTTAAATTAAAGACAAAAAAGGATTGGATTGAAAACTCCTGCTAGTTGGCCACTGCAGTGATTTTAAAAACCCAGATCCAATCACAAGGCAGTTTATTGATGGGGATGGCAGGAACTATAATGTCCACACCTGAAGGCTGTCTGGTACTATAGCTGAAATAACCCGGGTAACCAAGTAAGGAGATGGTGCTTGCCGCGGTTGTCTTTGGCCCCGCCAAAAAAAAAGTGTTGCTTTCAGGCCAATAAAAGACAAAGGCGTAGACATCAGTTCTACCCGCATCTGTCTTCTTTGTATACCTGAAAGGAACAAAAATTGCTCATTTTATTTTTACATAAACAAAAAAATCTTTAATAAATAATTAGTACAAGTAAGCTCTTCTCAATATAAGGTACAATGCGAAACTCAGCTTGACAGCCATATCACTATTCATCTAGCGAATGAGTTCCATAAACAAGCAAAGTAAAAATTTCTAATTCATCCATCAAGTGGCGCTGCAGTGCATGGAGGCTTCTGACCTGCTTCAGGACATCCCTATATTCAGATCTTTCCTGAGCCTTTGGTCTCCATGCCCGAATCCCAAGCTGTTGTAGATCTACCTCAACATCATCAGTGCATCGCATTCGGGGTCTGCCTTTGAGTCGCCTGCCTTTTAGTTTTTGCCTGTATACAATTTTTGCTCCACTGTTCTCTGACATTCTTTCAAGATGACCTGCCCAATGTAGTCTGTTCTTTTTTTTATTTCGGTCACTATTGGTGGGTGTCATTCAATTGATATATCTAAAAACATTTCCAAACTGAAAACAATTTCAAGTGAAGCATCACTTCACTTTCATCTAAATAAGAGAATAGAAACAATCTTACCAAACATGTGATGTAAGAGTATCATTCTGATAAGTCCATGGCCTAGAGCCATATATTCCTTCGCCATTGACCTTCATCCATGAGCCCATCTGTCGCAGTCGCTCTTCATAAATGGGGTCAATGTGACCATGCTTGGGTGGCCCAACATTCATGAGCATATTTCCTCCACAGCTGACCAAAAAAATTGAGATTTTTGTTTTCAAACAGTGGCATCCATCAATAAAGGACAAAACAGGAAAGAAAGAAATACAAAACAGGAAAGAAAGAAATACAAAACAGGAAAGAAAGAAATACAAAACAGGAAAGAAAGAAATACAAAACAGGAAAGAAATACAAAACAGGAAAGAAATACAAAACAGGAAAGAAATACAAAACAGGAAAGAAAGAAATACAAAACAGGAAAGAAATACAAAACAAGAAAGAAAGAAATACAAAACAAGAAAGAAAGAAATACAAAACAGAAAAGAAAGAAATACAAAACAGGAAAGAAAGAAATACAAAACAGGAAAGAAAGAAATACAAAACAGGAAAGAAATACAAAACAGGAAAGAAAGAAATACAAAACAGGAAAGAAATACAAAACAGGAAAGAAATACAAAACAGGAAAGAAAGAAATACAAAACAGGAAAGAAATACAAAACAAGAAAGAAAGAAATACAAAACAAGAAAGAAAGAAATACAAAACAGAAAAGAAAGAAATACAAAACAGGAAAGAAAGAAATACAAAACAGGAAAGAAAGAAATACAAAACAGGAAAGATAGAAATACAAAACAGAAAAGAAAGAAATACAAAACAGGAAAGAAAGAAATACAAAACAGAGAAGAAAGAAATACAAAACAGGAAAGAAAGAGATACAAAACAGGAAAGAAAGAAATACAAAACAAGAAATAAAGAAATACAAAACAAGAAAGAAAGAAATACAAAACAAGAAAGAAAGAAATACAAAACAGAAAAGAAAGAAATACAAAACAGGAAAGAAAGAAATACAAAACAGGAAAGAAAGAAATACAAAACAGGAAAGAAAGAAATACAAAACAGGAAAGAAAGAAATACAAAACAGGAAAGAAAGAAATACAAAACAAAAAAGAAAGACATACAAAACAAGAAAGAAAGAAATACAAAACAAGAAAGAAAGAAATACAAAACAAGAAAGAAAGAAATACAAAACAAGAAATAAAGAAATATGAAACAAGCAAGAAAACCTTAGAAATAACAAAATCAGTTTTTTGTTTGTAGCAATAAGATAATGAAAATAAATATGTGATTAAATAAAAAAATATAATCAATATTCAAGGATTTAAAAAATATAAACAATTCAATGTACTTTAACACATTCCCATAGGTGCAACACATTTCCAAAGGTGTAACACACTACCAAAGGTGTAGCACACTCCCATAGGTGTAGCACACTCCCATAGGTAACAGAGTTTAAATAAATGCATGAAAACATAATAATATAGCAAAAAAAGATGACAGGAGAGGCAACAAAGGCAAGGGACTGGGACCTAAACCAATATGCAATTGGACAGTAAGAACTGGCTACCCACGGAGGAGAAATACATCTCTGAATTCTAACCTCTTGGGTATAAACCAAAACATTTTAATCCTTTAGGAGTCAACTTTGAGAAATAACCAGTGACCCTTGGCACAGTGCTAAACCCTAGCACAACCTGTGACACCATTGATCACAAATTGTATCAGTTGCTGCTGTTCCTTAAGACACAACAGCTGAGTGGAGAGGGGGGACTACTGTGGGGGGACATCATGCTAATCATAGCGAATGCCCATGCTACCATTTCTATGAGACGAACCATAGTCACTACGTATTTAAACTAAGCAATGTTAGTTTCATTATTACTATACCTGACAGTAATGATGAATGTTTGGAGTAACTCTTCTATGGTGAGGTAGTCCTCGAGACGAGCATTTCGCCGGTAACCCCATGAGTGTTTGTCGATTGTCATTGCATTGACCCACTTATGTTTCTGCAGTACACCTTAGAAACACAGAAATGCAAATTGTTCATCAAGCAGAGAAGAATACATTATGAATGTCTACTCCAAAGATGTTTGATGGAAATGTGTTGAAAAATCAGGACCCCAATAAAGGAACCATTTATATGGCAAAAAATTACTTCTTATTTCAATCAAGGAAAAAAAAAGTTAATTTAAATAATGCTTTAAAGTGAAACCTACTTAAAATAAAAAATTGTATTAACATGGACTTAAATGATATTACTAAGTTGTAGGATGTAGCACGTAATCATCTTCTTTTTTGAAGTAACGTCTGTATTAAATAAATATATTTTTATTTTATTCTTTCAATGTTCAACATATGATATGCCCTAACGTCTCAAGACCCACTTTAAGCAATCCACTGTCACATATTTCTCTTATCCATGGATAGTAAGTATTTGTAATGAAGATGCAGGTACATTCAATTTACTAGCTGTTTAAAAATGTCAATAACAGTAGTGGTCAAAATTAAATCTAGCTACACTATTTTTTCAATACAGTCATATATAAAAAAGTAAAGTTCCCCTTTCAGACCTTGTGGTCTATAGGGCAGATGATGTAAAGGTTATCTGTTTCTGTGGCCTACGGTTAACGAGGGTGTCAT